GATTGATGACACTGGCGGGCCGGATTTGGCCCGCGGGCCGTAGTTTGGAGACCCCTGGTCTAGACCTAGACAGATGGAATGTCTTATGCGCCTCAGACAAAATTTTGCCAGATTTCTGTTGCAATCCCTGAATTGGGGAAAAATTGTCAACGTTTTATCTTGCAATATATCAAATGATACCCATTTTCAAAATTTTACAATAGAGTGATGCATCATTCATAATATATAAAAATGTAAGGTGCCATTTGGAGAGAAGTAAGTTGTGGCAAACTGCAGCTTCATCTCTGTTTTGTAATAATTTTGGTGTAGTCAACACTTATTTTTCGATCAACTTTTGGTCTTTTCAGATATCGGAGATATTGCCTATCTCTGACGAATCTCTGTTACTGCTAAAATTGCCACGTATGACCCAGACAGAAAGAAGAAAACTGTAAATTTACCATTTGATACTATACAAAAAGATCCAGCGCTAGCTACACTCTGGATTTTTCCTAATTTATCAAGCATTTTGATATGCCTTGAAGCTGAACTTTGTTGTTCCCCTCCTGGTAATGACATCTGGCTGTATTCCGAGTTTCCCCATCCGAACACCTCGCCTTTATCTGAAAATTTGCAAAAAGTATAGGAATTATAATGATAATACCAATCTTTTTTTTTTAAAACATGAAATTGTTAGGTAAATATTTTATATTATATCATGATAAATAATACAATTTAAAATAAAAACAGAAGGGCGTGAAAAAAGTGCAGGACACATGTTGTTATGATGAAAATATCATGTTTATAATGAAAAAAAAAATGTATACTCATATAAATACATAAGAATATATACAGCACCACTTCAAAGAAACCTCTGTAATGTGTGTGGATTTTTATGAAAATTTGAATTCTCTCAAAAACATAGCATTCCTTATCTCTTTTAAAGAGGTTTGATCTCAGGTATGTTGTGAATATTCTCATTCCAGGAAAAATTGTTTTTATTGTTAAATACATAGCTCTAAAACAAATAAACCTACTACTGTTGCATGTAATGGAAAATGCATGAGTATGTACTGGGTGCCCTAGAAATGACCCATAAAATTTTTTTGTACAGAGAAATAATTTTGTGCTATTGTGAAAGACACATAAGCATTAGAGTACTTCTCTTGATTGTCAAAACATGAAACGAAGAGATTTCAACATTGCAATAAAGTTTCCTTCTAGACTCTTAAGACTCTAGAAAGTTTTCCATTTACTCACCATTAAGAGCTAAAACAAAATCTGATCGACATGAAAGTTTCACAATTTTTTCTGATTCAATATCTCCAGTTACACGAGAAAATTCAGAATGATTATTGAAGTGGCCAAGTCCTGTCTGGCCGTCAGCACCCCATCCACAGGAATAAACGCTTCCATCTTCTGCAAGTGCCATACTAAAAACAAGAATTAAATTCCAATGTTCTACTAGTGCAAACAAGAAAATCACCTGTGGTCCTGTCCACATTCGATATCAATCACGGATTTTCCATCAATCTTCGGGATATGATGTATGTAACAATTCATTGTATAATTTTCATCTGGTATTATTTTCCTTCCACACTGACCAAAAGAATTGTTTCCTAAGGTGAATATACCTTCATCTGTCAGTACAACTAAATGTGCACGTCCTGCAGAAAGTTTGAGTACTTTTGATTTTTCAGGGTTCTTGAATGGCAGGGAAATTGGCTTCGGGTAGAAGAGAATTTCTAAGGGTTTACCATGTCTGACTTCATGATACCCTATTTGTGAATCAGTATTGATACCTGTTCCATAGATCTTTTCATTTGTATCACTATTCACAGCAAAAACTGTGAAACCAAATCCACTTGCTGCCGTGATGACCTGAAATTTGTTGTTGAAGATTATAACAGTGACAGAAAGATCATCAGAGATGTAGTAATATTCATTACTTTAATATTTATATGACAGGAGATTGGATCAAGTTTTGAATGATCTGGAAAGTATTATTACATAGAGATTTCAATTTGCCCAATCCTTAGCTAAGTGCCTACTCCCCATCGCAGATTGAGACCCTTGCGTTAACCACTGACGAGACCTGGAGAGTGGGTAGATTGAGAACTTTGTGTAGTCATACTTTCCAGTTCTAGAAAATGGCTCGAAGCCGAAACCGAAACGTTGATAAACGAAAGAGAATTCGTGAACATAACACTAAAAAAAGTGAGCAAAACCGCAGGTATGTGTTTCTGGTTATTGGAGTCATCAGTAAAGTGCGGTCAGGTGTAAAAATGGCAACACTTGTTTGCCAGTAACTACACATATGCAAATAGTCACCAACAGGAGCCAACCGTACATCTGATGAGGTCAATAGCCAGAAATACGAAAATTGCCTTTTTTTGCTTCAGATCAAATAAACACGTTGATATTTTTCATAATTTATTATCTGGATCCAGGTGTTCCGTGTTTTGATACTTCCCCTCCTACCAATAATAGATTTTGTCATGTAGGCTGTCACGGCCAGTGTCTTAACATATTGTCTGTGATGTTTCCAGGTTTATTTATCAGCCGTGATCTGCTATACCTGTCGTTTCATCTGCAACTGCGGCAGACATTATCAAAGGCGATGTGGTAACGGTCCTGCGATGCGCAACCTGAAAATATTCTGGTGCGAATCTCGCAATATTTGAATTTGACTTTGAACTCAGAATTGTATTTAGGTCTGACTTTAAACTTGGAACTTTGAATTTTATCCAAAAAAAAACTCGTGACCCTCCTAAACCTTCTTTTTTCAAGCTATTCTAATGAGAATATCAGTTGATCATCATAGATATTATACTACTTAAGAATATAGATTATATGATAATCTATTATGTGGCCGATTTATATTCTACGTATTATCTCGCGTTCCAAGATTAGAAATTGACACTTGAGATTAATCCTCTCTTAAAACATTTGTAAAACGATTGGGCCAATAGTCGTGTTTCACGATGTAGCCGTTGACCAATAAAGAGTCGACAACACTATGCCTTGCGCATTTTAAAAGCCACGTAAAGCCACAAGAATCTTAGAGAACAAATCTTGTCGTGGCAGAGAAGTTGACGTTCACTTGGATAAGAAGCCGGTTTCAAAAAAGTCAGAATGCATTTATTAACAATATTATCCATTTGTTTGCTCGGTTACACATGTTCTGCAAAAGAAGAGGACGTTATTGAACTTGGAGACAGTGATTTTGAGTCGAGACTAGCGGAGCATGAAGCGGCTCTTGTGATGTTTTATGCACCTTGGTAAGTTCATGTATTGGCATTATTGTATGAATTCCTTTTTATGTACTTGTCACGTTAGTTTTTAACAAGTATCATAAAAGTCAAGAGTTTAATGAATCGTTATTGACATAGGTGTGGACACTGCAAAAGATTGAAACCAGAATATGCTAAAGCAGCAGAAGATTTGATCAGAAATGATCCCCCTGTGGCTCTAATAAAGGTTGATTGTACCGAAGCTGGAAAAGAAACTTGTAACAAGCATGGTGTGAGCGGATATCCAACACTGAAGATTTTCCGTAACGGAGAGGTGTCTCAGGATTATAATGGACCAAGAGAAGCAGCAGGTGAGACAGTTTTTCACAAATATAATTCATAAACCTGGAGACACTTCATAATTGATCACTGAATCATCAATATGTGCTAGTTCATTTCCTACGAGTTTGTCATTAGTAGTCGTTTCAGTCAATTGTTGCCAATCTCATGAAAATTATTGTCTTAAAATAACATAACTACTAAATAGTCCTTTGAACACTCGAAAAAACCAGATTACATCCATGATCATCAATAATAATAGTAGTAGAAGTAATAGTTTCATTGTCCAAAAGATCACTGTTGATAGGTCTTTTCGTATAAATGAAAGCTGATTATCAATAGTAATTCCAAGGTCACGTATATTTATGCTACTCTCTAAATTATGCGAATTAATAGTAAAGTTATATGTTATAGGGTCTTTATTCTCCCAAAGGTTATGTAGAAGCAATTCTTGAGATTCAAAATGATATCTGTTTTCAGGCCATAACATTCACAATGGTCTCATAAATTTATGAATTATTCGAAACATCATTAGGGAGTTCACTAATGAGAATTCCTATGTACCGAGAGCTCTTTTTATAAATTGCATGTGACTTTGTATTCGCAATACAAAGGAATTTCAATTTTAATGGCCGACATTGATGGAGTTTATGAGGTGAAAATATACTTTTTGAGAAAGATTGAGGGAATACCATTAGGGCTAATTGAAATTTTTGTAAATATTTGTTAAGAAGATATTCCACAGTTTTAGAGTTGGAAAGTAATATTAGTCCAAGTGTAATTATTCCTTCTAAAAGCCAAACTAATATAAAAATACCTCTTCAATAAATTTTTTTGACTGGACATTTTGGAAGTATCATTAAATGATAATTTATCACAACTTTTTGAGACCTTTTTTACTCTTTTTTAATGATATAAGACGAATTCAATTATGCTACCAATGTACTCCTATTAAAACATCTAGATTACTTCAAAGATCTGTTGCTTGAATTTTCAGTAAAGTACTGTCTAACATGAAATTTCTTTTTGTTCACAATTTTGAAACGCATCTCTGCTTATTATATGCAGGGATATATTCGTTAATATGCGAAATTTCACCATCTACTTCCACAAAGTGACTTATTCATTTTTCTCAATTTCATATTGAAAATTTCAGGCATTGTAAAATACATGAAAGCTCAAGTTGGACCAAGCTCGGTAGAATTAAAGACAGCAGAATGCCTGAAAAAATTCCTAACTGCAGAAAAGGAAAGTGCTGTAGTCGGTTTCTTTGAAAAAGAATCCGATTTGAAAGCTGCGTTCATGAAAATTGCCGATAAACTGAGGGAAAAAGTGAGATTTGCCCACAGTTCTTTCAAAGAACTTTTGGAGAGCCAAGGTGTCAAGTTAGTATCATAAAAAGATAATTACGAATGAATATTAATGTATCTGTTTATAGAGATGGAATCGTTCTCTTCCGCCCCGCTCATTTGCAAAACAAATTTGAAGATAATAGTGTTAAGTACAGTGGAAAAGCTGATTCTGGCGATATTAACAAGTTCATTACAGAAAACTTGTAAGTATTACTTCATCAAGAAATTTTTAAATTCTACATTTGCAGTTAGTTCCTCAGACGAATTCCAACACGAACTTAATGAATTTGGCTTGGACTTCGTAAAAGGAGACAAACCTGTTGTTACTGCCAGAGATGGCAAAAATCAGAAATTCATTCTCAAAGATGATTTCTCGTAAGTATCCTTCAATGAATTCAAGTTGTTTTTCATCTATTTTAGTCACGTCAACAAATTATTTCTTTAAAATGTGCAGCCTTATCTGAGACACTCCGAACAAGATTTTGAAACTGATTGGGAGTATAATGAAAATACAAAATAATTTTTCAATAAATTTATTATATGATACAATTGGCCGATGAAGATCCATAAGTATCACTTTGTGAGATTTTCACTGGATAGTGAAGGTGCAGCACGTGTTTCGCTATACAATACCTTCCTCAGGTGTATTCATACTATCTAAATATGAGCAGTGACCCATGACTTTACCCCATAAAAAGATGAAGAAGGAACTGAAAGTCATGCTTCTATCGAAGGCATATTATTTGGTTGAAGAATATTGATGAACTTTGAGTTGTCTGCTAGTTTGTTTTTTTTTATTGTATTGAATTATGTTTGTTTGAAATGTTCTATATCCATGAGGGCTCTTGTACCAAGGAACCAGTGAAGAACATCTGCCTTAGTTTGAGCAAATTTATATTGGTTAAATCGGGCGAAACTTTTCTCAAAGAATAAAAGAGCATATGAGTAGTTTCTTGAATGTCAGAGTGGCAAGAGTTCAATTATGATTATGATGTGTTACATTTGAGACAGAGAAGTTTGAAACTCGATCTGCTGGAATGCTTGGAAATGAATAGATTTAAGAATTCTGAAAATTTGCTGATTGATTAAATAGAATTGAATATTTCCCCCTTACTGAATTTTCTTTCTAAAGTAGAAATTGGTAATAAGTTGATGTAGAAACTCTGTTGATTTTCATCAGTGACATGTCCATGTAAATGAGTTTGTAAATATATTTGTCATTAAATAGGTAGAAGGTAGAAGTTATTCAAATTACGTAAAAATTAGTTAATGTGGACATGCCTGAGAAAGTTATTGTATAGTGAAACACTTGTTGCGGTTTTGTAAACTGTCCAGTGAAACTCTCAAAATGAAGTGTTTCTTGAAAACAAATTTATCTTCAAAATATTTTTAGACATTCACTCTTTTGACGTCACATTATTGAAGTATTTCGGTTTACTTTTTCAACCATTGTTTATTAACAAACCTCACTTTATGTTACGAATTTTATTTTTAAACATACACCTTCAAAGAATCAATAAGGTGATTTTTTCAGCATTGAAGCCCTGGAGGTATTTGTCAATGATGTTTTGGAAGGTAGCCTTGAGCCTTATCTTAAATCCGAGCCAATCCCAGAAACGAATGATGAACCCGTAAAGGTGGCAGTGGCAAAGAACTTCGACGATATTGTCACAAACAACGGTAAAGACACTCTCGTTGAATTCTATGCTCCTTGGTGTGGACATTGTAAAAAACTGACCCCAGTGTATGAAGAAGTTGCAGAAAAGGTCAGTATGAACAAGAGAAAGCTATTTTTATTTTGGCTCATTCATAGTTTTTGTTTCATTTGTACTGTTGTTTTACAGCTCAAAAATGAGGATGTTGCTATTGTCAAGATGGATGCTACAGCCAACGATGTTCCATCTCTGTTTGATGTCAGGGGCTTCCCAACTCTTTACTGGATACCTAAAGATTCCAAAGATTCTCCAGTTAGATACGAAGTGAGTAAATAATTACCTAGGAATGAATTGTTCATACCCCGTTTATTTGTCTTGAGTTTGTGTTTGATGTTAATTTTTATTTTTAGGGTGGCCGTGAGGCGGATGATTTCATAAAATACATTGCTAAACATGCCACAAATGAACTGAGAGGTTATGATAGGACTGGAAGTCCGAAAGCTGATAAGACTGAACTGTAATACTTGTGAATTCGGAGTTGTTTAATTTATATAGTTTAACATATTTGATATAATTTTGTAATTCCATATAGTAAGGTACTTTTTTCAATAAATCTGGTTTCTTTATTTTTTACATTCATTTCAGTCATGTTATGAGTATTTCCGAAATGTTCTAGTGCTCCCTTGGATTGTAATTTATGACGCACAATTATATAGAATGAGGTAGGATTATTGTGTTTTTTTTTATATTTATAAATTTGTTCGGTATTCCAAAATATTGGGTGATTCTTCTATATACACTCTTTTTCATCGAGAACATGTAAAGCAACATATTTTCAAATATAGTGTTTTATGTAAAAAGGCTACAGTGATCTAACACACATTCGTGTAAGTCTTCTCTGTGAAAAAAAGTTGCTGATGTTTCTCTTTGTCCAGCAGCAGGAAGGCTGCTGAAACTAATTGAGTGATTACAAAAATATAATCAGACAGGAATGCTCTCTGCAAGAAAACTTGCGCAACTGGAAATAGTACAATGCTCGTCATGATATTAGTCAGAGAAATGTAGTGTTCCAGCAGTCACTTGCGAAATTTAACTGAGTAGGAAAGTTTACACAGAAATGTAAATGAATATTCCCTCTGCGGTCTTAGTCTTTGTTTTCTTAGAATACATGCGGTTCATTATTGTCTGATTTTACAATGTGTATTCAATCAAAGTATACTTTCTTAAAAGAACAATATTTTTATTGACAAAAAACATGAAGTTCACAGTTACTACATTGAAATACATGTTACAGAATGAGATTCACAGTCTATGATTTCGAATCATTTTACATATTAGACAATGGAAGTCCGAACTAGTGAAAGTCTATTTAATTAGGAAAAAGTTGGCAATTTTCGAGCTTCTTCGAATGCCATTTTATAATTTACCGATTGAATGATTATGGTGGTACATCAATGAAGTTGTGCCAAAAAGGCTAACTCATACTGAGTTGTTCTTTTTTCCATCCATTTAAAAAAAATTAATTGATAATGGTGTATTGGAGAAGAAAACGTCGAGTTGAAAATCTAGAAACGCAATCTTGTACCTGGGTACACTGGCCCATGATGAATGAAACTTCAGCTGAGTAGGACTAGTAAATTGTATTTGGTTCACATTGGGCTTACTAGATTCTTGATTTATCATACTTGATAATGGTCCAAATAAACCGTTTTAATCTATGTAATTCATCGTATGACAATTGATGATAACTGAAACTGTTCTATGCTTGGGTCATTAAAACTCAAGTTTATTTGAAAATAGTTTAATAAACCGAAACAAATAAAAATCGTAGTAGAAATAAGACAAAAGTTATTTTCTCTACGGATGTGTGAAAATGTTTTGTCTTGTCCATAATATTCTGTCTGTGATTCTGTCACTTGTCAACAACATCAGGCACTGTTCTTTTTTTTTCACAAAGAAAAATCATCAAATTCATCTTACACTAACTCAGTAATTTAATTTGACAGCTTTTACGACCAATCGGTGGAACATTCCTTATCGAGCAATATTATTTCTGTTCATTGTGATTCCTAACAATACATTAATAGTTGTTATTACAAAAGGATTTATCTAGACAAAATTTAAACTGTCAACTGTCAGATTATACGGCGTAACTATTCAGCGAAGGAAGAGCGTTCCAATTCTTTTCAGCCGCTGAATGAAGCAGTTATGATATACCACATTCAGCGGATTCAACCACTGGAAGCTGCTGAACGCAATCGATGTCGTCTTTGTAATTGGTTCCTTTGTTACTACTTTTTTTCTTTACCATCGACCACTGGTCCAGAAGAGACTACCACTTCAACATTCTACCATGCCTGCCAAGTACGTCAATTTTTAACTAATACGTCTTTGAAAAGATGGAAAAGAAGGGGTAGAAAAGTCTTCCGCGATCCCTGGATTTGAACCCTCTTGATTTTTACGGGGCTACATAAAAGAGCGTGCCTATGAACGAAATATAATAATGAACATGACATTTTTTTGACGCCGCGGGCTTTGTATCAGAACATATTTTTCTTCCTTTTTTGTGTTCTCAATAAAAGCATAGTATTATCATTAAGCCAATTTTTTTTATTGTTAGGTACAACATAATTAATTATTCCAATTTAGAAATAAAAAAAAGAGTAAAAGTTGATAAAGGTATATTCTACACATATAAAAACCAACAGTTTTAAAGTCATAACTACCTATGTACTTACTATAAAATCAACTCGAGTTATCAAAGATTATAGATAGGAGATAAATAACAATGAGTTATGATTAATTTAGAAACCATTCAGACTGTTACAAATTATTTGTAACAGTCAATCAAGTTAGTGAAAGGAAAAATAATTGAACTTGTGTGTATTATTAGCACAGAATAGAAACGAATTTTCTATTCTGTTATTAGTAAAGTTTGGTATGAAAAATTAAATTTCTAGTTTCAGCATACGTGTACTAGAATGAGGTTATGATGGGTTTTTATTTAATTGTGAATTGTGAACTCTGTAAATGTCAATAGATATGTCAGTGAGGATATGAAACATATTTGTTTATCGATGATAAATAGTTGAATTTTTAGGAATGAATGAATCTAGTTGAAGAACTACATTTTTTAAGTGAGTTATCTTTTAATAATTATAAGTAAATGCTTCTATTTCAATCATTTCTAATTTTAGGTCAGGAGAATGTCGAGAACGTCAGACCATTTCAACGTTTTTGAAGATAGTGATACTTGTTTAACGAATAAAAGAGCAAATAAGACTGTAATCAGCAATGTGTATGAAGGCATACCTGAAACAATAGTTCTCAATGTTGTATCATGGATTCTACTGATACTCTTGTTTGCCATTCTACGAAACAGGGCATGGGATTATGGCAGGTTAGCCCTAGTTCACACAGAGAAATGGACACAACTTTTCTATAAGAATACTGATGATGCTGTGGCCGTTGAAGAATCCAGTCACGAAATTTCTTTGATACCTGATACTGGTTGTTTATGGTTTCCATCAATTTTCAAAATTACCCGAGACAGGATTTACGCCAGATGTGGTCCAGATGCCTCTCATTATCTATCATTTCAGGAACAACTTTTATTTTTGATGACAGTTATAACACTTTTCTCAATATGTGTAATTTTACCCATTAATTTCCAAGGTACTTTATTAGGTGACAAAACCACATTTGGGCACACAACTATAGGCAATCTTTCATCAGACTCCAAGTTGTTATGGGTGCACATTGCAGGTTCTGTAGCTGTTGTGCCAGCGATGATTTTTATTATGCGAAGAAGTTCGGGGAGAAAACCAAGCGCAACAGCCTTGTCATCAAGAACTGTGATGGTTACAAATATTTCGAAAAACCACAGAAATCCTGAAGATATCAAGAATTACTTTACGGTGCGCTATCCTGGAATTGATGTCAGAGATGTCAAAATTGCTCATAAAGTTAAAACTTTATCTTTATTAGAAAAAGAACGAGAGAAAGTACATGAAGCAAGAATGTATTGTTTAAGTAATGTGCAAAGAACTGACATCAAAATGCAACCTTACGGTTGTATAGCTTGCTGTAGATGTAATACTGCTAATGCCCTTGAATATTACACTAAAGAAGAGGAAAATTTAAATAGACTCGTTACTTTGGAGAGAGAAAAGGCATTACAAAGTCCTCTTGGTATAGCATTTGTCACATTCAATTCTGAGGAGATGGTACAACATGTTTTACGTTCCTTTCAAGGTGGTTCACATAGAAATTGGGTATTATTCAAAGCTCCTTCACCATCTGATATAAATTGGGAGAATTTGGAAATTTCCTATAGAAATTGGTATTCTAAAGCCATCGTTATCAATGCTTTGTTATTTATCATCCTTTTTTTTCTAACTACTCCGGTGATTGTAGTCAATATATTCAATAATTTGACTGAGAATATAACTTCCCAAGCAGATAGTATTGAAAAAGCAAACCCCGTACTTTCAGAGTTTTTACCAACTCTCCTCCTTCTGTCAATGTCTGCCCTCATGCCTGTAATTGTTGCTTATTCAGATGAGTGGATGTCACACTGGACAAAGTCCAAGCAGAATCATGCAACAATGTTCAAAACATTCTTTTTCTTGCTCTTCATGGTACTAATTTTGCCATCTCTCGGCCTGACTAGTGCACAAGCTTTTGTAGAGTGGTCCCTTCAAACAAAAAATTCGACTCGATGGGATTGCATTTTTCTTGCCGACAAAGGTGCCTTTTTTGTGAATTATGTCATCACCTCGGCCCTCATTGGAACCGCACTGGAATTGTTGCGTTTTCCTGAGTTAGCTATGTATGCCTGGAGATTGCTGCGTATCAAGTCGGAAGCAGAAAAGACAACTATTCGTAAGGAAATTCTGTCTGTTTTTCCCTTTGGTATTCACTATGCTTGGACATTGTTAATTTTCACAGTGAGCACTGTCTACAGCTTGACATGCCCGTTGATCACTCCATTTGGCCTTCTTTATCTCTGTTTGAAATATCTAGTTGACAAATATAACATTTACTATGTTTACCGCCCAATAACTATGTCCGGGGAAGGCCAACAAATACATGCAGATGCAGTCAAAATGGTGTTCATTGCCATTCTCCTTTTGCAGCTCATCACAGCATTGTTTTTCTTTTTGAGGGCTACCTTGATCCTTACAATTTACATCGCCTTTTTAGTATTTGTACTGACAGCTATGTTATTTTTCTTCGTAGGGCCATTTCCTTCTTGCAAACCCTCACATCTGAACTCGTCCGAACTGTCTGTTGCCAACGAAGAGTATGTGGCACCGGTATTGATCAGTTCGAGTTCTATTGACACTGTCGAGTTTGACAGGTCGTCGCCTAGTTTTTATGGCTCATCAAATGATAATGGCGTAAGGATATTGCCGGAAATTGGTTCTAGTGAAGCTTGAGTCCGTTTCACTTTTCTTTCTGGGGCTGTGACTAATTCTATTCTAGTGTGTGAAAGTAAGAGAAATCATATGCTGTCTTTTCCACAAATTATCTATGGGTAAAAAGAAGAGCGAGTTTGTAAAACAGATGACATCAGATAAATTCACGCCACATAATTTCACCCCATTTAGTTCCTTCTTTTATGCTGGTGTTTACAGACTGAAGAAATATTTTCTGCAGCACACAAAACTAAGAGTGTAATGTCATTTAGAACTTTGTTTTCAACAGAATGCTTTCAATTTTAGGCAGTTTCTATGTCTTATCAGTATTAATCTTGGCTGGTGAAAATAATGTGTTATATGTATATATGGCTTAATGTTTCATGCAAAATATTTCATACATTACTGCTTGATGGTCATATGCTAGAACAATAACAATGAAAACATTTCCATATGAATTGACATATCGACAGCGAATTTTTTGAATGCAAATCCTATGCACAACATTCATTCACTAATAATTGGATATTAGCAGAACACAAATCAATTTTAAATTTATAATTTTGCTCTATAATTGAAAATCTTGTAATATAATCAACGTCTATATTTTAAATTTATTTTCATTTCAAAACAACTATTAAAATTATTTGGCTGTCCTTGAATTTTCTTACCATTTAATGCTTGCTTCAATATAGATTTTATTTGTGATATATTGAATAAAATTTTAATCATCATTATGTTGTTTCAGTGTACTAACCCTGTATATAAAAAACAATGTATTTTTTGTCTATCACACAGGTTGCTGGTTAGGATTATTGGAACAGAATATCTGAATTCACCACAATACCTTTCTTTTCCCTTAAAAGTTACTTATTTCTACTTCAAAAGTTCTATTCATCTCCAGATATCTGAGAAATATCACTATCAAAATGTTTATTGCAGTGAAACCTGAAGACTAGTTTAATTAGTTGCCTTGCAGTGAAGCCTGCCGACTAGTTCAACTAGCTAGGTAGCTCTCTTATTAGTCAGTGGGCTATACTTGAATACTGGCAGTAAACAAATCTAAAGAAATGAACTTTAAACGTTGAAGCCAGTCTCGGATATACCTACACAGTAGGTTGAATGGACTGTTGTCTATCAGAAAAAAACTACTCCCTGTCGGATATAATCAAACTCCCTTCGTGGTATTAGCCAGGGGAGTAGTTGTTTTCTGATAGCCGTCAGTCCATTCAACCTACTGTGTAGGTTTATCAGAGGCTGGCTTGAACGTTCAAAGTTCATTTCTGTAGATTATCTAGGAAGCCTCGTTTATCTTTGGTATTTGAGGTATCTGTTGTACCATAAACATTTCATGTTCATTTTCATCAGTAATGAAATATCAATTTCGATTTTCCTTTCTTCGAAACTAGCTATTTATGTTCATTGGGATGTTCTTTTACATATTTTACAGAAAAACTCTCTCTAAACCAGAAATAATCTAGTCTTGAAAGTTTTCTTTCAAATCACAACTTTTAAGGCTTGGGTATATAATTTATTAACCAAAATACAAACTAATAAATATAAAATATTACACTTTGTTAGTCAACTAAAATAGAAGTACAGAAAAAAAATGGTATAAAGTTTGAAATTTAGCGTAAAGACTGATACAACAATACAGTCAGATATATTACAAATACATTAAAATACCACAATGGGTATAGTGACAGTCATAATAATTATACAGAAAAGAAAAATTGATCTCTAATAATAGTCACATATCGATTAAAACATTAAAGAAAACTAAAATATTAGTTGAATTATGAAGATTCTGAAGTATTTTAGGATTAGAATTTATCAATTCTCCAAAATGTACTTTCAATAGTGTGTCACATTTTTGTGACAAAACGTGAATGTCAATATTAGTGCGCCATACATGAATTTCTCGGTAATTTCTTAATTTTCAATTCCTACTCGAACAGTATTTCAAGTATTTGTGTTTGATACACTTAACTATAGGATTTGCACACACATACTGTATAGTGTGTATATACGTATATACACATATTGTGTATAAACGTATAAAAATTTGCTTGAATACTTCATGAATTTTCATTAAGTATTGGCAAATTCCATCACACACATACAGACTAGACGTAAATAGTCCCCTCCTCTTAACTTTTGAATGGAACAAGATATCAAGGTAGGTCAAAATTTACATAAAAAAATTATCTTTTTTGGTACTTTTTCAAAAAAAAGGAATAGTGTTGCAACTTCCTTTGTCCTCGATGTACAGCCCTATTTTTTTCAGGTGTTCTCTCAATAGACAGTGTTCAGCAAGTAGCCCTGTAATAGTTCTCATCCTGTTTAAGTTAGTCCTTAATAGGTTTTTCTTCTCATGGCTATTTTGTATTATATACAAAAGTTTGACCATTTAAAGTGTTACTGAGATACTTCCTATGAAACAGACATTTTCCTTGATCATTTATATTATCCACAATGAATGGAGCCGATTCGTGACTTTTTCCACATATATGGGATACAGAGCTTACATTATTAACAAGTATCTGAACTATTACGATTTGGTCAAAGTCCGCAAATCCACAGACTTTTATGGTATTAGCCGGGGAAGTAGTTGTTTTCCGGCAGGCATTACCCAGAATTCACTGTGTAGGTAGTGGGAAGAGATGAATATTCATTCATTCTCTAGTACTTTTTTGTCTAATCCCTACCAAAAAATTTTCCAGATATTTTTGTTTCAAAATTTGGATTTTTTATGTGATGGAACTGGCTGATACTTAAAAATTTTCATCTTATCAATATTAGAATAATTTTCAAGAAGTATTCAGTACATACAGTACTGTACGAATACACATGTGTGAAAATGTTTTGTCTTGTCCATAATATTCTGTCTGTGATTCTGTCACTTGTCAACAACATCAGGCACTGTTCTTTTTTTTTCACAAAGAAAAATCATCAAATTCATCTTACACTAACTCAGTAATTTAATTTGACAGCTTTTACGACCAATCGGTGGAACATTCCTTATCGAGCAATATTATTTCTGTTCATTGTGATTCCTAACAATACATTAATAGTTGTTATTACAAAAGGATTTATCTAGACAAAATTTAAACTGTCAACTGTCAGATTATACGGCGTAACTATTCAGCGAAGGAAGAGCGTTCCAATTCTTTTCAGCCGCTGAATGAAGCAGTTATGATATACCACATTCAGCGGATTCAACCACTGGAAGCTGCTGAACGCAATCGATGTCGTCTTTGTAATTGGTTCCTTTGTTACTACTTTTTTTCTTTACCATCGACCACTGGTCCAGAAGAGACTACCACTTCAACATTCTACCATGCCTGCCAAGTACGTCAATTTTTAACTAATACGTCTTTGAAAAGATGGAAAAGAAGGGGTAGAAAAGTCTTCCGCGATCCCTGGATTTGAACCCTCTTGATTTTTACGGGGCTACATAAAAGAGCGTGCCTATGAACGAAATATAATAATGAACATGACATTTTTTTGACGCCGCGGGCTTTGTATCAGAACATATTTTTCTTCCTTTTTTGTGTTCTCAATAAAAGCATAGTATTATCATTAAGCCAATTTTTTTTATTGTTAGGTACAACATAATTAATTATTCCAATTTAGAAATAAAAAAAAGAGTAAAAGTTGATAAAGGTATATTCTACACATATAAAAACCAACAGTTTTAAAGTCATAACTACCTATGTACTTACTATAAAATCAACTCGAGTTATCAAAGATTATAGATAGGAGATAAATAACAATGAGTTATGATTAATTTAGAAACCATTCAGACTGTTACAAATTATTTGTAACAGTCAATCAAGTTAGTGAAAGGAAAAATAATTGAACTTGTGTGTATTATTAGCACAGAATAGAAACGAATTTTCTATTCTGTTATTAGTAAAGTTTGGTATGAAAAATTAAATTTCTAGTTTCAGCATACGTGTACTAGAATGAGGTTATGATGGGTTTTTATTTAATTGTGAATTGTGAACTCTGTAAATGTCAATAGATATGTCAGTGAGGATATGAAACATATTTGTTTATCGATGATAAATAGTTGAATTTTTAGGAATGAATGAATCTAGTTGAAGAACTACATTTTTTAAGTGAGTTATCTTTTAATAATTATAAGTAAATGCTTCTATTTCAATCATTTCTAATTTTAGGTCAGGAGAATGTCGAGAACGTCAGACCATTTCAACGTTTTTGAAGATAGTGATACTTGTTTAACGAATAAAAGAGCAAATAAGACTGTAATCAGCAATGTGTATGAAGGCATACCTGAAACAATAGTTCTCAATGTTGTATCATGGATTCTACTGATACTCTTGTTTGCCATTCTACGAAACAGGGCATGGGATTATGGCAGGTTAGCCCTAGTTCACACAGAGAAATGGACACAACTTTTCTATAAGAATACTGATGATGCTGTGGCCGTTGAAGAATCCAGTCACGAAATTTCTTTGATACCTGATACTGGTTGTTTATGGTTTCCATCAATTTTCAAAATTACCCGAGACAGGATTTACGCCAGATGTGGTCCAGATGCCTCTCATTATCTATCATTTCAGGAACAACTTTTATTTTTGATGACAGTTATAACACTTTTCTCAATATGTGTAATTTTACCCATTAATTTCCAAGGTACTTTATTAGGTGACAAAACCACATTTGGGCACACAACTATAGGCAATCTTTCATCAGACTCCAAGTTGTTATGGGTGCACATTGCAGGTTCTGTAGCTGTTGTGCCAGCGATGATTTTTATTATGCGAAGAAGTTCGGGGAGAAAACCAAGCGCAACAGCCTTGTCATCAAGAACTGTGATGGTTACAAATATTTCGAAAAACCACAGAAATCCTGAAGATATCAAGAATTACTTTACGGTGCGCTATCCTGGAATTGATGTCAGAGATGTCAAAATTGCTCATAAAGTTAAAACTTTATCTTTATTAGAAAAAGAACGAGAGAAAGTACATGAAGCAAGAATGTATTGTTTAAGTAATGTGCAAAGAACTGACATCAAAATGCAACCTTACGGTTGTATAGCTTGCTGTAGATGTAATACTGCTAATGCCCTTGAATATTACACTAAAGAAGAGGAAAATTTAAATAGACTCGTTACTTTGGAGAGAGAAAAGGCATTACAAAGTCCTCTTGGTATAGCATTTGTCACATTCAATTCTGAGGAGATGGTACAACATGTTTTACGTTCCTTTCAAGGTGGTTCACATAGAAATTGGGTATTATTCAAAGCTCCTTCACCATCTGATATAAATTGGGAGAATTTGGAAATTTCCTATAGAAATTGGTATTCTAAAGCCATCGTTATCAATGCTTTGTTATTTATCATCCTTTTTTTTCTAACTACTCCGGTGATTGTAGTCAATATATTCAATAATTTGACTGAGAATATAACTTCCCAAGCAGATAGTATTGAAAAAGCAAACCCCGTACTTTCAGAGTTTTTACCAACTCTCCTCCTTCTGTCAATGTCTGCCCTCATGCCTGTAATTGTTGCTTATTCAGATGAGTGGATGTCACACT